ACATTGTGCCACTGCTCAATGTACTGTGTGTGTGTGTGTGTGTGTGTGTGTGTGTGCGCGCGCGCGCGCGGGGGGGGGCTGGCTAGGGTACAGGGGGCTGCAGTGTGGGGCCAGCTGGCAGGCAGCCCCTATACTGAGGCACCCCGTGCCCCAACTGGCACGTGGAGACAAGGGAGCAGGCAGCCCAGCGTGGTCTGCTCCCTCATCTCTGCGTGCTGCAGAGCCCCAGCTGGGGCAGCCATCCTGAGCACCCTGGGCTGGCTGCTGCCCCGTTTCGAGGCAAACTGTGCCCCAGCCAGCTGCTCTGCCTTGGAGTCCAGCCCTGGGGTCTAATTTACCATTTCTCCTTGCTGCTAGATGTTTGGGTGGACTTTTCTTGGGGCTTTTTTTTTTTCTGTGAACACTCAAGAGGCTTTTTTTCCCTCTCAGCTGATCTATACCGGTGAATTGATTTTAGGAGCTTAATTTTTAAACGTTAAGCAGGAGACCATTGATTCCAACAAGAGTTAAATAGGCACCAGAGATGCACATTTAGACGGAGCATGCCCTTTGAGCTCCACAGCTTCAGCAGCTAAAAATTAAGAGCCAAAACTTCTGGTGTGTTATATAAGCATCATTAGGTGCATGTTGAGGGAGCACACATGCTGCCTTCACAGATCCGCTGTCCCCGAAATATCATGGCACTTCAGGGTCATTTTCTGTGACAAAGGGAAGCGAGCCCTCGGGACAACTTTAATACGTTCCAGCGCACATCTGTGGGGTTGGAAACCACCCAACATCTGTCAGATTTTGTACCAACTGTCACAAGCTCTGGCTTTTCTTCCTCTACAGAATTTCAAATAATATGGCAACGCTTGGCTCTCGTTTCCCTACGGTGTGCGTGCGTGCGTGCGTATGCATGCACATATGAGAAATAAGCAGTGGCCCTTACAGTCTCTGCATCTGCTTGCTGTCCTTTCTGAATATTGGCATGGTGTAAGCCAGTACATAGGACACCAGATTGGGAGTCAGGAGACCCATCTCCTTGTCCTGACTCTACCAGTGACCTCGAGCAAGTTGTTAGACCTATTTGCGCCTCAGTTTCTCCTCCTGAATAGCAAGGCTAATGGTTCTGACCTTCCTTTGTTAAGCACGTTGAGGTCTGCAGATGGAAGCAAAGGGATTAGGGCCAAGGATAATCTGCTGTGGTTTTGAAAATACCTGATTTTAACAGTCTATGCACGTTTTGAAATAGGCAAATACATCTCTGCTGGATTCCTGTTTTTACAGCAGTGCTATATCCTTGTCTCTTCCCTTCCAGGTATAGCACAAATGAAGGGGAGACCTGGAAAACGTTCACTTTCTCAGATAAGCCAGTATTTGTATACGGGCTGCTCACTGAACCTGGGGAGAAGAGCACTATATTCACCATCTTTGGCTCCTACAAAGAGAATGGTCACAGCTGGTTGATACTACAGATCAACACCACTGATGTGCTTGGTAAGGGAACGGGCATATGAAGTGTTCACCTGCTCTTGGATCCTGCGGGTACCGTGTATTGATCCCAGCCTTTTGCTTTTCCTTCACAATTCAAACCCACTCATGTCTATTGAAAAAGCAACAGGTGCTATTGCTTTCCTCACTGACTATTAATTTGGAGACAAATAGGGCCTTGGATAGTTCTTGCATCTTTGCCTCATAGACTCATCACTTACCTACAGAGAATGACAAAGAAAGGCCGTGATCTGCTGATCTGAGCTATAGGATGAGACTTTCAAAAGCATTCAAGAGACTTAGGAGCTCTAGTTCCACTTTTCAAGCCACCTTTTGAGCCCAGTTCTCATAGCATGTCCACGGCTTTAGGGCTGTACTGACATGGGCCTCTTTGCAGGCCAGGGCCTGTTGCCCAGAGGTCGTCACTCAGTTATTCATGCCGAGTGACATCTTGTCCCTTTCTCCAATTCTGTGTCCCTGGCTCATTGTTCACATAATATTTTCAGTTTGCAATGGTAGAGGAAATTTGAGCTAGAGAGAACAAATGCAAATGTGCTTAATTCTTATACTGGCAGGATTTTAAAAAGCAAAGGGAATAAAAAAATCCATTTCTGTAAGCCATGCCCATGAATGTTTCATAACTGATTTCAGCTTTGATTGCGAAGTAGCGTTTTAATCAAAGAACGGTTAAACTCGGCAGAGGAATTTGCTCGACTAAAATTTATAACCAATTCCCTTGTCGTCTGGTTATGGATGGATCTCTTTGGGAACCGGCACGGCTTCATTTAAATAAGGCGTCGCAAATGCGCTGTTGTTAGCAGTGGAGTTGTTTATTCCCTTCTGTCACCAAATGTCTCTGTTTTTCCCTGTGCTGCGCACTTTGAATTGAATTAGTCTCCCTTTATCTTTTGTTTGGGGCTGGCGCATGCTGGTATCGCTCCATTGACTTGTGTGGAGGTCTAGATGATTCACGCTGCCGAGTCGGGGAGAGAGAGGGGAAAACAGGATCCGGGAAAGAAAAGTGCTGTTGTAAAGTACCTGATGAACAGCCCTAGCAACTGATGCCCTTACTATATCTGTGCAGAAGGGCAAGGAGCTCCCAAAACCTGGGACGCATCCCGACTCTGACACTAGGAATGGCTCCTGCCTGGATGGTCCATCCATTCCTGAGCCTCTCCTCTGCGAGTAGTGGTGATGGTGCTTTTCTTAGTTCACAAGACGCGGTGTTGAGATGGACCGTGCGTGTTTTGCCCTGGCTGTGGAGCAGTTGTCAGCTGGTAATGGATTTCTGCTCAGCCAGAACTGAATGGTCGAACTGGAGGTGGGAAAGGCTTCGTTGTCCAGCCTCTGCGCCGTCCAGTTACATGCTGGGTGTAAGGAGGGTTCAAAATGCAGTTCTGCACTGAAGCAAAAATCATCCCCTGCGTTACTGGGCTGGACTCTGGGGAACTTGCCAAGGCTTCTTGAGGAAAGGAGTCCTTTAAATTGCAGTGTGTCAGCACAGAAGCTGTAAAAACAGTGCAGCCTTTCACTCAAGGGCATAAGATATCAGGGCATCAGGATCTTGATAAGACAGAACACTTGGGCTGTTTCTCCACAGCCTTTTGTGGTGATGTGCACCCATGCAGAGAGCCAAATGTCAGGAAATCAGCTGACTTTCAGAGGCGTTTCACATCTTTGGCTTCCATCTCAGTAACAGGCACAGGCTCTCAGACTCAGGCCTCTAGCATTTTACACTGCACACATATAAATAATAACTTCAGGCGCGAGGACAAAAGGCAGTCAGACCCCACACCTTCCTAAATCCTGAGTTTTGGTTACATAGAGACCGTGGCTGTCCTTTAACCCAATCCTGTCGCTTGTCACAGGAGTCCCTTGCACTGAGAATGATTACAAGCTGTGGTCACCCTCCGATGAACGAGGTAATGAGTGTTTACTGGGGCATAAAACAGTTTTCAAAAGGAGGACTCCTCATGCGACTTGTTTTAATGGAGAAGATTTCGATAGACCCGTGATGGTCTCCAACTGCTCTTGTACAAGGGAAGACTTTGAATGGTAAGTAGCAATTAATTTCCCTTAGTCTGGATTGTAATTCTAAGATAAATATCAATGACTAATAGCATGGAGTGAACAAACAGATCCAATTTATTTAGCGCCTTGTATCCACCGCCGGTTTTATAGCAGAGAGGAAACGAAATAGACCAAAAACATCCTTTCATTAATGGGGAGCATGAGACTTAATTAATGTTTTTCAAGCACTTTGAAAACCTCTGAAAGGTGCTGTGGAGGAGCACAGTGTTATTACTTTATCACCTCTTTAAAATGAATGAAGACAATTTCCCATTCAAATGTAGAGGCCAGCTATAGAAAAAGCCAAGAGACCCTTCGACCAGAGTGACGCAACCGGTGCTGCCGTATAATTTTATTTTTAATTTACACTTCAGTGAAACTAAACAACTGTCAAGATAAGGGAGCGTTGCTGCGACAGGCAGACGGAAGGGGGTTTTCATTAATGAGTGAACTGTTGGGTGGGCGTGGGCCAGCCTTTTGAAAGCTCAGAGCCAGAGTTTTCAAGGGCTCATCTCCCATTTAGGGTTAAAGAGGAATGGGACAGACTGAGAGTCAGGACTGCTGGCTTCTGCTTCCCAGTATGACAGCCCAGTACTGTGTAACCTGTGGGCAAAATCATTTGAGTGGTGTGTGCCTCAGTTTACCTGCCTGCAGTTATAACAAGGCTCTTCTGTAGCATTTTGCTTGCAAGATTTTCAAAGCCTTTTATAGTGAAGCGGAGCATTGCTCCCTCCGTATTGCTGGGAAACTGAGGCGGGGGCGGTGATGTGACCTGCTCACTAGAGTCCCAGTCCAGTGCCCTCTTCCCAAGATCATGCTGCTAAAGCTGTTGGGAGGCTTGTTAGCTTGACACATGCAACGTGTTTTGAAATTGCTTGATGAAAGCTGCTGTCTGATCACAACGCATTAGTATTAATCTGAATGCTACTGATAAGCAGATGAGTGTCCCAAGCCCTTTGTTGGAAAGGACCTGTGAACATATCTGTATAACATCACAACATTTTCTTTTTCTTTCCTTCCTCCCCTCTCAGCGACTTTGGCTTTAAACTAAGTGACGATTTATCATTAGAAGTCTGTGTCCCTGATCCTGAATTTGCTGGGAAACCATTTTCCCCTCCTGTTCCTTGCCCTGTTGGCTCAACTTACAGGAAGACAAGAGGGTATGTACTGTGCATGGGTGAGGAACTTGATTTTCCCATGACAGGACTTAGGAAATTTCTGCTAAAGGAAGGATTGCATTAATACAGATTAACTGGGATACAAGCCCAGGATTCACAGCATAATGCATGCTAGTCTGTTGTAAATCCTGCCAGAACCAGTTTCTTGCATTAATTACACATGACAGTATGCTGACCACTTCCTTTAAATATTGCACATGTATTTATACATTCCAGATACCGCAAGATCTCTGGGGACATGTGTGCGGGTGGAGACATTGAATCCCGACTAGAAGGGGAGCTGGTGCCATGCCCTCTAGCAGGTAAGTAGGCTTGGGAGTATTTTAGCCATGATGGCTTCATTCATTAAGTCAACAATTGTGTGCCTGCCTGCCCAAGGACTATATAGAAACTCCTATGGGACTTTCAGAGATCTGGCCAAGGTACAAGAACAGCAGCCAAAGTAGCTTAGTAGGTAAATAACCCAGGGTCTTTTCTCCCTTCTGGGTTCCTGATAGGGTTTTTCCAGGCGCATCCTTGCTCCTATTCAATTAAGGGAAGTTTCTGATTTTGGAAGCTGGAATTTCATTGTGAAGTGCGATGAGGTTTGGATTCTCCAGCTCATTAGAGGTCAGATTAAAAGTCAGTCCTGGCTTTCCATGCCAGGGCAGGGCAACATTTACCCTTGCATGCCACACTAGTGTGATTCAGGCAAGTCCAAGAAGAAATTGCCTCTCCCCAGACACAGAGGGCACTGAAGAGATCTTATCCAACCACGTGCTGCCGAAGCTATTTGCATTCTGTTTGTTAGAGCCTTAATTTAATCTTCCGTCATGAGCAGGTTGATTAACATGCCATTGCAAGAGAGAAAAATGTTTTCTGCAGTCAGTGGCCTGATCCAAACCGTGCTGAAGTCATTGGGAGACAGTCTGTTGACCTTAGCTGGCTTTGGTTAGAAGCCATCGAGTGTGTCTCCCAGCCCTCCGACTGACCTGCATCATATAGACAGGCAGAGCACAGTAATTACAAATGCAGGGACGTCCCTTGGCAAGAGCAAACCTCACCTGGCTTTGGTACACAGTCCAGAACTGAGATTTTTCAAAGGAGCCTGAAGGATTTTAGTATCCAGTTCCCATTTTATGGAAACTAAATATCTAATTCCCTTTTGCCACTTCTGCAAGTCTTATCTGAATCTCTTCCCACGTGCAGCAGAAGTTTAAGATATCCATTCCAGGTGAACCCAGGGGTGCCATAAAAAATACAGACTTGGAATGGAAATGGTAAAGATGAATCTGTTAGCTAGAGAAGACCTGTGGCCTGGCACAAGGAATGTTTTGCTCGGTAGAGTTCTTGCTGATACAGACTCGGCTTTTCTGCTCATTATTTACAGAGGTTTTAGTCATGCTATGCAGATTTCCCCAGCTTAGGGAGGAAAACCTTAAACTTGGCAAGCATTTCAAGTGTTTATGTATGGGGCGCTCCCAGGATAGCTGCTGTTGCTCTTTGGATGTATGTTGCTTTGCAGGATGGCAGTTCTTTCAGCTCTAGCATTTCTGCATACCTATCTAAGCTGGTTAAGAATGGCTGGTGAGTTTTTGTTATTACAATTACCGGTATAATTAATATTATTGATGTTTATTAGTATTGCGGTAACACCTGCGAGCCCTAGTCATGGACTGTAACTCCATTGTGCAAGGCACTGTACAGAAAGTCTTGTGTTATGGTAGAGCACAAAGAGTCAGTCAAGGCATCATTGTGGTGCATAAGCATTAAATGAATTTAGCTCCAGTGGAAGGAGAAGCTTTGATTTTTCTAAATTGACAAAATAGCAAATGCGAAGAAAGAAAAAAACTTCAGAATCATTTCTGCAATTTTCAATCCCTTTTATCTGCTTTGATAATATTATGGCAATAATATTTTCCTGTCACTTTTGAGTGTGAATAACGGTAGTCTGTGGATGCTGATGTATGCTAATCAAACCTAATTTCCCATAAGATTAAGGGTCGTATTCTCTTTTATGTGAAAGCCTTTAATATGCAGTTCTGGTAAGAAATGAAAAGTTTATTTGCTTTATCCTCAGAGTAACTCATGCAAAGGACTTCTGTATAACCAATTCTATGTTTCCCTAGAGGAGAACGAGTTTATTTTGTATGCCACGCGCTACTCTATCCACCGTTATGATCTCTCTTCTGGAATAAGTGAAGAGTTGCCTTTAACTGGCTTGCAAGGGGCAGTGGCCTTGGATTTTGATTATGATCACAACTGCTTGTACTGGGCAGATGTAACTCTTGACATCATACAGGTGAGTGGGCACTTGGTCCATCTCTATACAGCATGATGCTTTAGGATGTCTTCCTAGGAGGCTGTATACCCTGTACGTGCACTAATGAAAAATGTAGCTGTAGTCAGGGCTCTGATCTACCCTTCAAGGTACACTTCATGAAAATAGGGCCCTAATTTAACCTATTTTAGGAGGTTAGTCTCATCAGGGATTTCTCATGCATTATACAGGCCAGATCCTTGCTCCACTGATTTACACTAGCCTGCTATACCCAATTTGTTGGCCGTATAGTGGGTGCTCGAAGAAAAAATTGATAGGAAAGAATTAGCATGTGTTGCAAACGGGGTAAGTTGGATTCTTTGTCTACACCTCGGGCTTGAAACACGAAAGTGCCCTGGAATCAGGGGTTAGCTTTCCTGCAGGGTTGACTCAGCTCTTCAGCCTTCTCCCAAGGTGGAGAATTTCAGTTGATTTTGTGATGTTCCTCAGGGCATAACACTAAAAACCATTGCAAAGCACTTTGCAAAGCGCGTTCTGCCTGCTTTGAATGAACACAGAGGACAGCATGTTTCACCAGAGGAGCATAGTCCTCTATTGTCCCTAGGCAAATTTTTCTGATACTTCTCCTGTACTGAGTACCTGTTGTCTAGCTTGCTGCCTGCCACCACCCTGGAAGTGAATGCATTCCCTGGAGCCATAATATACCTGCTTTGATAGGCAAATACCATTGATAGGCTTCTCTCTTCTATGGCTTTTTTTTAATTTCCCGCCTCAAACAACTGTGCATGCTAATGTTAAGGCTTTTTTTTTCTTTTCTTATAGCGACTTTGTCTAAATGGCAGCTCTGGACAGGAGATAATCATCAGTACTGGCCTAGAAACAGTGGAAGCTTTGGCTTTTGAACCTCTCAGTCAGCTGCTTTACTGGGTCAATGCTGGTATTTCAAAAATTGAGGTATGTCTACAACCAGTCTCCATAAGTAAATTCAGCCACATTGTTGAGAGTCAAGCACGCTGTAAATCCATTAAACAATGCATTGCCCCGAGTTCCCCACTGCTGTGCCAGGGAGGCTGAATGCTTTGTGTCTGGTCAGGGGCATTAAAGGCACCTGCCATTCACACCCAAGGGTTCAGTATTTGGATGTATTGCTATTCTGTGTTCATAAAATGGACTAGGGTTGGGGCTTGTGCATTTAAACTGGGACTGTGATGTCATTGTATTAATTTGACAGTCTGGCTGAACAGCCCCCAAAAAAATGGGATTTATAAGAATTTTCCAAGTAAAAGTGACACGTTCTTTCCACTAGTGTTGGTTGTTTGCTAGTGCTTGGCAGCTCCCTCATGAAAATAATGGTGAATCCTAAAAACATACGGATTTTAGCACCAAAGGCAACTCTCCCCAAAACTGGGTTTCTGTTACTCACTCTCCCTGGTTTTCCAACTTAAAAGTTTCAGTTGTCCAATCAGAAAGTAGACATAATACCATGTGGTTTAAGGCAGGTGACAAATTACTTCCTGGAAGCAATCAAAATGAAGAATCCCAAGCAGCCCATTGGCTGAGGTGTATTGGTATCAGTTGTTCATCAGCTTCTCCCAATAATGAACATGTTCATCAACATTAAGGTCAGATTCTGAGTTAGTGGCAAACATTAGAAGTGGGTAAACTCGACTACTAATTTACCCATGACACGTTATTTGAGCATCTTTAGATGAACAATCTCCCATGTGTAATGCGCAGGGATTTAATTAGTTGCACAGAGTGCATTATGGCGCTAAGCAGTTGGTTCAGTAATGTAGGAATGACATAAATAAAGCAAGCCCATAAACTTTTATCACTTGCCTTAAGATAACTGTTTGTCATGCCCATATACTTTGAATGGCCATTTGCTATATGGATGTAATTAAATGCCGTAGAATGTCATTTAATTTTAAACAATGCAATTGCTTTCCATATTGCAAACAATAAACTTTATCCTTGCATTTCATGCTATAGGTTGCCAACCCAGATGGAGACTTGAGATTCACTGTTTTAAATTCTTCTGTGCTTGAACGGCCCAGAGCCCTGGCTCTGGTTCCCAAAGAAGGGTGAGTAGGACCTGTCTGTGATCAGGTATGCTCACGTGTCTTATTAAAACCAACCAAGAGAATCTAGTGCTTTTCATCAGTATTAAATTAATACAAGACACTGGTATTGTGTCTTTGACATGCTATTTTGAAAGCTGCATTCCTCTGCTTTGACTACAGTGAGGGTAGGTGAACTTCACTTGAATTTGGGTTGGGATCAGCTTTCCATTTTAGCTAAACTGCACTTCACTTACCATAACTTCCTACCTGCAACACTGTTAACAGCAGAGAGCTGGGCTGTTCCTTGCATGTATGTGAGGATTTGACCTAACAACTCATCTTCCCAGGACCAAGCTTAGTGGAGGCTAATTGCCTGATCATCTGCTCGTCTTCTCAATGGGTTTTGCATGCTAGACTCCCTGCTCTCCTGGCCACAATGCTCCCATAGCACAAGCTAGATTGTTTAAAGCCAGCTGGGGTACATCTACAGGGACCCCAGCCTAGATATATTCTGAACTGCTTTTGGTTCATGTAGTTTAGACACCTGGAACCTATTCTTTGTCCTGGGCGAGTCCTAATTACAAAGACATGTTCTTCCTTGCAAGAAGGTTTGAAGGCTGAGATCTCTTTCATTTGGAAGCCAGTTTTGATGAAGCCTTTCACTACTTTCAATACACTCTTTTAATGGCCCTTATCAGGTTGATGTTCTGGACTGACTGGGGAGACTCAAGACCGGGCATTTACAGAAGTGATATGGATGGTTCATCAGCCAGCTGCATTGTCTCTGTGGGAGTGCGGTGGCCAAATGGCATTTCTGTGGACGATCAGTGGATCTACTGGACAGAGGCTTACATGGATAGAATCGAGAGGGTGGATTTCAATGGAATGCAGAGATCCATGATCCTGGACAGCCTTCCGCACCCCTATGCTATCGCTGTATTCAAGGTATTTGTGTAGTGATCTCACAATGTAGGTATATATAATCAGTCACATTACCATATATGCTCTTCATTTTGCAGTGTGTTGGGAGTTAGGGCTTTTGGACCCCTGTTAGTTCTGGCCAGTCAGTCTTACCTCCATCCTGGGTAAGCTTTTTGAGAGAGTTATCCTGGCACATATCCACGAGGGGCCAGCGGGGGAGATTATGCTCAGTGGCAACCAACATGGCCTTCTACGACCAGGTCACCAAATCCTTAGACGCAGGGGTAGCAGTGGACATAGTGTCAAAGGTCTTCTGAAAATCCAGAAAGACTGTCTCTCACCCCGTTCTCATTAAGAAACTGGGGGGCTGTGGTATCGACACCCACACAGTCAGATGTGTCACCAGCTGGCTGGAGGGCCGCACCCAGAGAGTGGTGGTGGATGGGTCATGTTCGACCTGGAGGGATGTGGGCAGTGGGGTCCCACAGGGCTCGGTCCTCGGGCCCGCACTGTTCAATGTCTTCATCAGCGACTTGAACGAGGGGGTAAAAAGCACCCTGTTCAAATTTGCTGATGACACTAAGATGTGGGGGGAAATGGGCACGCTAGAAGGGAGGAATAGGCTGCAATCAGACCTAGACAGGTTACAGGGGTGGGCGGATGAGAATAGGATGGGATTCAACACTGACAAGTGCAAGGTGCTGCACCTGGGGAGGAACAACCGGCACCATACCTACAGGTTGGGGAACTCCCTTCTCATCAGTGCAGAGGCAGAAAAGGATCTTGGAGTCATCATTGATGCCAAGAAGAACATGGGCCGGCAGTGTGGGGACGCGGTCAGGAAGGCCAACCGCACCTTGTCATGCATCCACAGATGCATCTCGAACAGGTCCAGAGAGGTGATGCTCCCCCTTTATGCGGCACTGGTCAGGCCACAGCTGGAGCACTGCGTCCAGTTCTGGGCGCTGCACTTCAGGAGGGATGTGGACAGCATGGAGAGGGTCCAGAGGAGGCCACTCGCATGATCAGGGGGCAGCAGGGCAGGCCCCACGAGAAGAGGCGCTGGGACCTGAACCTGTTCAGTCTCCACAAGAGAAGGCTGAGGGGGGATCTTGTGGCCTGTTACAAACTAGTCAGGGGGGATCAGAAGGCATTGGGGGAGTCACTGTTCCCCTGAGCACAGCCAGGAGAGACCAGGAACAACGGTCACAAGCTGGCGGAGGGTAGATTCAGATTCGACATCAGGAAGCGCTACTTCACGGTCAGGGCGGCTAGGATCTGGAACCAACGTCCAAGCGAAGTGGTGCTGGCTCCTACCCTGGGGGTCTTGACAAGGCTAGACAGTCACCTTGCTGGGGTCATTTGACCCCAGTACTCTTTCCTGCCATGGCAGGGGATCGGACTTGATGATCTGCTCAGGTCCCTTCCGACCCTAGAAACTGTGAAACTATGAAACATATTCACACAGACCCCCAAATCTCAGAGCCTGGCTCAGCTCAAATTACCCCAGGTTGGAATTGAAACTGTGATAGGCAGCAGGCAGTATGAGGTGGTGCCAGGCTCACTTTAAGCTCTGTCCTAGTTTAGTGAAGTTGTGCTGTTGTCAGCAGAGGTGGCTTTCGTTTCAGTTCTGCACAGGTCTAGTTTAGGCCTGTCTTAACTCCTTTGGCTTTAAGAAGGATTCTGATATACCTATTCTTCTGAGACTCTCAGGTTGAGAGCCAGGATAGCCTAGAGAGCTGCCTTCTTGTCTGAGCCTAGCTTCATATTCATGCTATACTAAGTTTTATTCACACTTACCCTGTTGTTTCCATACAAGCAGGAGCAAGCAGTAATGGAGCAAGAGACAGAAAGCTGTTGGCAGATCATTTGAAAGCAATACATCCCAGGGTCCCCATCTGTAAACCAGAAAATACTGCCCCAGCTTTGCACTGTGATTCAAAGTTGCATGAAAAACAAGAGACAAGTTTAAAATAGCATTAGCCATATATGAAACCTCCAGGGTACTATCAACGTCTGTAAAACAGGAGACATTACTCTGCAGCTGACTTTGTGAAACTGGTTGTCTGCATTAGTTGGCTTCATTAACAATGAGAATTAAGCAGGAATTCCTGATTTTTAAATCTTCTTCCAAAAACAAAATGGTTTGGGGAGGTCCCAGCATTTCGAGTCCATTATATTTGCTTATCTGCACCAAAGTCTAGTTTGCACTAAGCAGCAAAGCTTATGTTTCAGAATGAAATCTACTGGAACGACTGGTCACAGCTGAGTATTTTTAGAGCATCCAAGTACAGTGGGTCGAGAATGGAGATTCTAGTTGGCCAATTAAATGGGATCATGGATATGAAGATCTTTTACAGGGGAAAAACAACAGGTAATTGCGAGTGTGTGTTTGCCATCCTTTCCTATGTGAACTGTAAGGCTAAGATGTTCAAAAGTCAGCAAAGTCACATGGATGTTGAGTTCCATGAAGGGGGCTGTAGGTGTGCGTCTGTCTCCTGTTACCTGAGCCCCTCCTAATCTTTCACACAGTCTGGGTCACAGAACTGCATGAGACAGGGGAGTAATTACCCATTTTACATGGAGTAATTACCCATTTTACACATGCAAAGCTAATGCATTGAAAACCTTGCCCAAAATTGCAGGGGAGGTCTGTGGTAGAGATGGGAATTGAAAACCAAGTTTCCAAGTCCCATCTGTTTTCCAAGTCCCATTTCTAAGCTCTAACCCCTGGCTCATCCTTCTTCAGATTTCCATTGTGCAAATGCACCTGAATCCTCTTGAAGACCTTGAAACCTTAGCTGTAGTATTAAGAAATGACTCTTTGTTGACAGTGGTCCTTTCTGGAGATACATAACCGTGTGATGTGTGTATGTAATTATGTCTTTATCACAGCTTAGCGCTAAAATCATAGAGGATGTGTCTCTCTCATACTTCCTTTGTGTCCCATCAGTTCAATAGTTGCTAATAGTTATTAACATCTGATAGCTCATTAGTAACCTTGAATGAAATGAGTTGTTGAGTCTCAGCCAGAGATAGGTATGCAACACCCCTCACCCCCTTGCCCCTCTTGACTTTGAGTTTGTTGGCACTGGTTTTATGACCCAGATAGCTTGCTTGGGGCAGACCCAAACCCTCAAAAGTGACCATGATCTCTGCATTCGATAATAGGCAGATTTTATTGATACACAGTGATAGCTTGGAGAAGGAGTTCCCTTTTGACCAGGGACACAGATACAGAGCATTCAGAGTTACAGGTTTGGATAGAGCTACAGCAGATGCATCCAAATAGGGATTTAAAGTAGCACCTTTGAACGACCTCAGGTCCATGTATAGACCATTTCCACCAAGACGTCCCAGCTTCCTGGAAATAATGTGGACTCTTTCTCATCACTTTGAAGCAGTCACTGTTAAATCATGCTTAAGCCTCAGCAGGCCCTCAGTCTAATCTGAAAGAGTCTGTAAATGCAGATTAACAAGCACTTGAGCAATTGTGTTTTGAAGCACTCTTGGTAACATGGAAGCCAGCAATAGCCTCTCCTTGCTCTCTGGTGCTTTCATACGTAGTCTTTGGAAGGGGATTTGTTTTCAGCTGACTACAGAGAGGCTTGCACTTCTTAAACTTTTCTGAACTGCAGCCCCTGCAAACAACAGGCAAAGGCTTTGAGGCCCTTTTCTAGTCTCGCTTTTCAGAAATGGACAGTGACCCCGACACCTGGATTTGAGAAGTCTAAGGAGTTAAAATGAAACATGAAGCAGAGAGGGAGAGGAAGAGGCTTGTCTCAGTTTTGGGTTAGTGTTACCAGTTCCACGTATTGCAGTAGAGCATAGGAGCCCCAGTCAGGCATTGGGACCCAAATGTGTTATGATCCCAGAAGATAAAGGCAAAAGCAGTCTCCGGCCCAAACAGTTTGATTTGCCTTCCTCCTCGCCATAACCAGTGTTCACAACGTACCTGTGTGGTGGGTCTCACGTACTCTCACTAATACCGGCGGGGGGTTTTATCTTGTAAGACAGAAAACATGCTCCCAAAGTCCAAAGGAGTGTAAAACTGTACCTCCCAGGGCCAGAGTCCAAACCTAACCCTGTAGGGCTGGTTTCCAGAGAAGCCAGTAGAGCCGCTTGAACCAAGGGGGTGATCTGAGACCAAGGCCCAGGCTCTATGCAGCGTGTGGCCGTGCAGGATACTGATGGTGTTCCCCCCAAACAGGGCAGAATGCCTGCATTGCCAAGCCTTGCAGCCTGCTCTGCTTACCAAAATCAAACAATGGCAGGAGCTGCAAGTGCCCAGAGGGAGTCTCCAGCAGCCTGCTCCCATCGGGGGAAGTGAGGTGCGAGTGCCCACATGGCTATCGGATGAAGAACACCACCTGCATAAAGGAAGGTAAATCTGCATCCGGGGTAGCAGTAGATAGGTTCAGATCACTTGGCCCAAAAAAATGGCATCGGGACTAACCACCGCTTGTTTGTGCTCTAGAAAACACCTGTCTGCCCAACCAGTACAGATGCTTCAATGGGAACTGCATAAACAGCATCTGGCAGTGTGACAACGATAATGACTGTGGAGACATGAGCGACGAGAAAAACTGCCGTAAGTGCCCCCCAGGTCGCTCCCTGATGCGGGACGGTTTATTGAGGCAGTTTGGGGAGTAAAATGCTGTAACCAAAGATGGAGGAAGGAGAAGTTACAATCAATCCATGTTCCTTTCAAGCCTTTCAGCTTCTTGGCCAACTTATAGGAAACGCCCCGGTGCATTAAAGGACAAAGCCGCCTATTGAGAGAAAATCAGGCAAGACCCAGTGAACGCAGGATGTGAGAGAAGTAGCTGAGCTTTCCCAAAGCCTGGGGGTTTGGTTCACTCCTTATATAAATAGAGACAACTTCAAAATTTGGGTCGAGATTTAGAACTTGTTTTGTGCCCGAGGCATGTCGGCACCTGCAGCTCAGAGTCAGAGGCCTTTACCCTTCTTCAGAGTTTGACTTTATAGACAAACAAATGAAAACATGCCAAAATCCAGGCTTGACCAGTCTTAACAGCAGGCTTGTTTGCCCACCTGCTACACGCTCAGACCAAAAGGCTCATCTTGGTGAGGACAAGTCAGTTTTGAAGACTGCCCCCTTAGCTGTTCTTTTCTCTGGCTGACGGGCTCTCTCTCCTGGCTTGCTGGTGGGTGTTGCAGGGTGCAGTTGGCTTCAGGTCTGTCTGCAGGACAGACCGTGAACCCCTAGCCTGGCAGGTCTAGGAGGAGTTCAGTGAGCATATCATCACCCTGCTGTGTGTTTCTAATTGAGCTAGTTGTAAGGGTAGTGGGAGTAGCTCTGGTGATGGGTGCCTCCTTCATTGCATTTTTCTTTGTTTTTATTTGACCGCACTTGACAGGTGAGTTTGGGTGGTGGGAGCAGTTATTTAAACGACAACCTTGAATCCTCTCCCTTGTCTCCTCATGCATGCATTAGCCACAACAGTGTGCGATGCCGAGACTCAGTTCCACTGCCAGGGCTCAGGGACTTGCATCCCGCTGTCCTACAAATGCGACCTTGAGGATGACTGCGGAGATAACAGCGATGAAAGTCACTGCAGTGAGTACGCTGAGGAGAGCCAGGAGCTGTTTGTCTCCGTCAGATGTCTCTCCCCGTCCGCCATCCAACGGGGAAAAAAAAGCCTTGCCTCATACTGTTCTTTTCACACTCTGGGATGTGAACCTGCTCTCACAGGGACAGAAAAGGTGGAAGGAAGAGAGGAGAGCGCTCCTGTGCAAAGTAGGGCCTCTAGCTCTAAGGAGAGCCCAGGGAGACACCCATGCTTCACACTGACCAGCTCATCACAGTCCTATCCCTGCCACACATCTAGGTTGCTCCTTTGCTAGTGCCAGCATTGTGCAGTGGGTTGCACAAGAGAACGGAGCAAGAAAGTTACAGTGATAGCCCCTTTCCTCCCACCTCCCTGAGGCATGCCCTGAGCCAGCAAGGGGCTCTTGTATCAGTGCCCTCAGATTCCTCCTCCAGGTACTTAAGCCAGGATTAGACACCGCTTGTGCAGCCCCCAGGTCTTGCCATGTTTCATCTGAGACTCATGCCAAAACACCTTGAGACACTCCCATCCCCTCCCCATATCTCACACAGCTCCAAAAGCCACCATGGCTGCAGATGAAGGGGTGTGGCAGAAACACCTTTACCACAGTGTCTCCTAAGATAAGAAACCCTTAGTTCTCCAGGGGCTTTTGCAGGCAGGGATAGGAGTCAGAGCTTCCTGTATCAACAGCCCCAACCTCCTCCCATCAAAAGCAAACAAAAGCCCTTATTAACTTATTAAACAGTCAGTGGCACAGTGTCAAGTGGTTCCAGTTTGTGATAGAAAACAGTGCTGCACTTATAACCCAGCCAGGTCATTACCACCCTTGCAAAAGAGCTTGAAATCCCAGATTGCAAAGGGGGCTCACAGCTCCATTTTCTGAGGCCCCTGCAGCTTGCAGCCACTCGAACGGGAGTGCGTGGTGCTCAGCTTTTCCAGCTGGCAGGCTGTCTGCCTTGGAGAGTTCACGAGAGGTGGGCTGTTAAATCCAAATGAGCACAGAGGATGGGAATCAGAATGACGTGGTAGCTGTTGGGCTTTCAGGACTAGAAACCACACGCTAAACAAGCTTTCAAGACTTTGAACACTTAGGCTGCCGGGTTTGTAGTTTCAGCCTGTCCTGCTCAGCTAGTAGCTCGTGTTGGATTTCCACCCCCTCTAAACTCCATGGGCTTTGTCCACAGAGGCTCACCAGTGTAGAAATGATGAATTCAGCTGCAGCTCGGGGATGTGCATTCGTCTTTCCTGGATGTGTGACGGTGATAACGATTGCAGGGACTGGTCAGACGAAGCAAACTGCACTGGTAAGCACTTTGATATGATCGATAAACGCTGTGCTGGAATTGCTCATTACGAGCTGTCAGCTGCTTTAAGCATCTCTAAAGGGGGTGTATTAGGGTAGTGCTTTGCATAGAAGAGAGCAGCCTATGAGGGAAGATGTCAGTTTAACTCTTCAGAGGCAGGAGATTGAAACTGCCACTGCCAGATCGCTGCTGCATTTTGCACTAGTGACTACTGTAAGGGAATGCTGATTGGCAGTGGCGTGAGGTTTAAAGCAGAATCCTCCTGAAAGTAAAGGACAGATCCAGTGTCCTCTGAGGTCAGTGGAAGGACAGCTTTGGATCAGGTCTGCATAGAGCACCCCATAGTGTAATACAGTGGTTCTCAACCTTTTTGGTTTCAAGGCACCCCTCGTTAGGCTCAGGTCACTCTTTTGAAAATGTCAGCTCTTAGCTTTCACTTGTCTTTTAACTCTGGAAAAATAATGGAACAGTTCTTCTCTTGCAACAAACTCAGAAAGACCGCAGCAGGCCAGAATGGTTTTGACACTATGGCTTCTTATTTGAAATCTCTCAGTTTATCTTGCGAATCATGTGTAGGTGTTTGCACACTGCTAATATTGCACAGCACCCTGCGACACCCCTAAAAGGATCTCGGGGCCCCCTGATTGAGAATCACTGGTCTTGTATACTGAACTCAGGGCCAGATCCTGTGTTTGATCCCAGTGCAGACAAGTTACTGAGTGACTTTGCCAAGCTGTTTAGATTCTATGCCTTGGTTTCCCCATCTGAGTTGTGCCAGGTATCCTGCCAGTCAGGTGCGGTAGGTGCATAGCATTTACATAGTAGGCCAAGAACCTATTCAGTCATGATTAGTTTCCAATACGTTGAGTCCTGCAACTTAATTGTTGCATGTTGGCTGACTCTTCACCAAGTGCTTCCTTCGTTTTATACTTTTGCAGGGGTGCCCTGGCAGATCCCAGTGTTGTGGCCATAGTGCCCTTTCCTTGCTTGCAAGAACTGAAAAGCTTACCCTGCCTTACAAGTTCTGTTCAGTCAGTAGTCATAAGGGTGCCGTTGGTCCTGGAGTTATGAATAAGGACACTTTCCCTTGAAAAGGGCTTGGTGGTTACAACATGAAGAGAGGTTGGTGTGCACTAACCTAATTTCCCTGCTTGACCTGTGATCATTTTGTGACCATTAAATAGTATGAAGGAAACAGGGGAGTTCTTTATAACTTCTAAGTGATTTCATTTATCCAGGAGATGGGGCTGCTTAGCTCAGACAGCCACTGGTCTTCACATGGCCTGGCTGCTCTTCATAGATTTCATAGACATTAGGGCTGGAAGGG